AAATGGATTCAATAGCTTATTCGACAATTTTATGAAGTCTAAAATGACAACCATATACTGAAAAAAAAATTTCAAGTGATTCAACACTGATGGGTTTTAAAAAATAAGTTTGTTGATTTTGATTGCAAATCTCTCGTCCAAATCATTAAGTTCAGTTTTGCTTCTTAAGATGAATTAAACAAGTACATTGTAAAAAAGCAAAGGTCGTATATGTAGTACAAGTTCAATTACAATAACATTTCACATGCTGTAGCTCCTGCATGTAATAACGCGTCTGGCTGCCCTTTCTTTTACTTAATCCTTCATACTCTCCAATATAACTCCGAGACATGGCAAAGTAAATATGCAATCAGCCAAAGGCTGCAGTCGTAAGATCTACACAATGCATGATTACCAGGGATGCGTCTCAAAGGTTTAAACATTGTTAAACGCATTCAAAATGTTTTTATAAAAAATGTTTTGAACAATGTGATCCACATATAATACACTATTTTACATCTGTGGTCTTCAATTTAATTTATATCACACTACCATAATTAAATCTGATTTTTTTTGGAGATACCAGAAATTGGCTAATAAGATATCAATACGCAAGTTTTTCATTATTTAAACTAATCACATTTGTGGAATACCCAGGAACAAATTTCAATTAAATGTGATGATTATGCAATTAAAAGTCAAATTTCAATCTAAAACTAATGCATTGTTCCAATGTGATAGTTAATTAGGTACTTATTAGTAAAAAACCAAAAACTAATTTATCTTTTACTAATTATGCAAATTAGGTAATTATTTTTTGTATTTAAAACATTTTTTATTGAGTCAATTTACATAAGCACTTTACGTAGTTACATGTATGTGTACCAAAAAATTACATTGCACAACAAACAAGTACAAAGTCTTCACAAAAATATTACAATTTTTTCAGGAATTCATGCTGATATGCTGGGTCGTTGCTACAATTTTCATAAATTTTCCCCATTTTTTTAAATGTTTTCCCAATTTACCTTTTCTGTTTGCAATCAAGTACTCAGTTTTCTGTACCCTCTGCA